ACAGACTAGAAGAATTGATTGTTCAGTTTGGAATTTCAATGCACCGCTTTCGTCTGGATAAATAAATTGGAAAGAATTGTTTAAAATTAGTGGTTGCGGTTCTTTTAGATCTCCTGTTTTATAATCTATTGTTATTTGGCAACCTCTTTCTGTAATTTTGAAATAAATTTATTTCTTCCATTTATTTCGTGTGAAAAGAGTAGTTTTGGAATTAACGGTTGTGAAAAATAGAGGAATTGAGAAACAAAGAGTTTTAGAACGATTAAATACTATATAAACTTTTTAAATATTTAATTTACATTTTTAACTGTTACTGGTATTTAATTTTCTTTTTTCAAATAATTTTTATTGAAAGAGTGAATTTAAATGTTGAAATTTAAATTTGTGAATTTACGTTCCTAAAGTTTCGAACATTTAAATGAATAATATCTTTCTTATAATTAAGCATATGTTACGTTTTTGTAATAATTCTTATTTTTAAAAAATTATTCTGAATTTTACAACTTTGAATTTCTAAAAGTAGGATAATTTGTTACTTGTTCATATTAAATTAATTGAAAAAAGTATGTTTAAAATTATGCATTTTAAATAATGTAATTGATATATTAATTATCATTATTTTATTGTTATTAAATATACTAATAAAAATTATTATTATTATTATTATTATTATTATTATTATTATTATTATTATTATTATTATTATTATTATCTACAATGAATATATGGATATATTCAAAAACCCCGCGTATCGCAACTTGTTACGGAGAACCGCCGCATGGAGATGCTGCTTTCACTACTGTAACGATGCATAGTGGGGGAGCGCTGTGGTGGGGAGCGCCGTGGTGGGGATCACCACAGTGAATGAGTGCCGTGCGCCAGCCACCAAACTCATTCTTCTTTCAGCTTTCATCATTGTAGGTTTCTCTTCCTTACAGGTCTCTTCCTTAAAGGTCTCTTCCCTCCAGGTCTTTCTTTCCTCCAGGTCTTTCTCTAAATTTTTTCTTTCTTTTCACCAGGTCTTTCTTTCCTCCAGGTCTTTCTCTCCTCTAGGTCTTTGTTTCTTCCTCTTCTCCAGGTCTTTCTTTCCTCCAGGTCTTTCTCTCCTCTAGGTCTTTGTTTCTTTCTCTTCTCCAGGTCTTTCTTTCCTCCAGGTCTTTCTCAAAATTTTTTCTTTCTTTTCACCAGGTCTTTCTTTCCTCCAAGTCTTTCTCTCCTCTAGGTCTATGTTTCTTTCTCTTCTCCAGGTCTTTCTTTCCTCCAGGTCTTTCTCTAAATTTTTTCTTTCTTTTCACCAGGTCTTTGTTTCTTTTTCTTCTCCAGGTCTTTCTCTAAATGTTTTCTTTCTTTTCACCAGGTCTTTCTTTCCTCCAGGTCTTTCTCTAAATTTTTTCTTTCTTTTCACCAGGTCTTTCTTTCCTCCAAGTCTTTCTCTAAATTTTTTCTTTCTTTTCACCAGGTCTTTGTTTCTTTCTCTTCTCCAGGTCTTTCTCTAAATTTTTTCTTTCTTTTCACCAGGTCTTTGTTTCTTTCTCTTCTCCAGGTCTTTCTTTCCTCCAGGTCTTTCTCTCCTCTAGGACTTTGTTTCTTTCTCTTCTCCAGGTCTTTCTCTAAATTTTTTCTTTCTTTTCACCAGGTCTTTGTTTCTTTCTCTTCTCCAGGTCTTTCTCTAAAATTTTTTTTTCTTTTCACCAGGTCTTTGTTTCTTTCTCTTCTCCAGGTCTTTCTTTCCTCCAGGTCTTTCTCTCCTCTAGGACTTTGTTTCTTTCTCTTCTCCAGGTCTTTCTCTAAATTTTTTCTTTCTTTTCACCAGGTCTTTGTTTCTTTCTCTTCTCCAGGTCTTTCTCTAAAATTTTTTTTTCTTTTCACCAGGTCTTTGTTTCTTTCTCTTCTCCAGGTCTTTCTCTAAATTTTTTCTTTCTCTTCACCAGGTCTTTCTCTCTAAATTTTTCTTTCTTTCCTCCAGGTCTTTATTCTCTCTTTCTCGTATAGATCTTGTTTCTCTTTCACTCTTACAGATCTTTTTTTCTGTTTATTTTAATTTTTTATTTCTAAAATTAATTTTATTCATTATTAAAAAAAATTTCTTTTCTTTTAGAAAAAATAATAATGAATCCATATAATCCTCCATCCAATTGCCAAAATCAGCTAGAGGAAGAAGAAGAAAATGAAATTACTATTTTTGACGATAGTAGTCATGATGAGGATGATGATGATGATGATGAGGATGATGATCATGTCGATGATGCGTCCATGATCATCATTTATGATGAGTATGCTCATAACAATTATGAGGATGACGACGACGATGACGACGACGACGACGACGACGATGACGGATATGACAGTGTGGGGGAGACAATCATCATCAGCGATGATGATGACGACGTCCTGATAATAGATATCGATCCTAAGGAAGTTAGTTGATACTTTTTATTCTATTTTAAATTAACTTTAAAAAAAATATTACTTTTATTTAAATTAACTTTAACCATATTTTTAATTTTTTTTTTTTTTAGATGTCGGAGTATATTGAAGATTATCATGAAAATTATTAAATTTTATTTTAAATAAAAAGAAATATTTTTTAAATTAAAGCATTAATTTTATTTCCTTAAATTTTATCGCGCATGGTGTAAGCGCATATTAAGGTGGGGATAATTTGCGTGCGCATTCGAAAGTGTAGTGGGGTTAGAGATAAAAAGTGGGGTTGCAGCAATATAAGGCGAGTTTCAAAGCCACCAAGTCATTATTATTTCAGGTTCTTGAATTAGCAGTAAGTATAAACATTAATCTATTTTCTAAGTTTCTTTTTCAGCTTTATTTTCTAAGTTTCTTTTTCAGCTTTATTTTCTAAGTTCCTTTTTCAAATACATTTTTTCTAAGTTTCTTTTTCAGCTTTATTTTCTAAGTTTCTTTTTCAGCTTTATTTTCTAAGTTTCTTTTTCAGCTTTATTTTCTAAGTTTCTTTTTCAGCTACATTTTCTAAGTTTCTTTTTCAGCTACATTTTCTAAGTTTCTTTTTTCAGCTTTATTTTCTAAGTTTATTTTTCAGCTCCATTTTCTAAGTTTCTTTTTCAGCTACATTTTTTCTAAGTTTCTTTTTTTTTCAGCTTTATTTTCTAAGTTTCTTTTTCAGCTACATTTTTTCTAAGTTTCTTTTTCAGCTTTATTTTCTAAGTTTCTTTTTCAGCTTTATTTTCTAAGTTCCTTTTTCAGCTTTATTTTCTAAGTTCCTTTTTTCAGCTTTATTTTCTAAGTTTCTTTTTCAGCTACATTTTTCTAAGTTCCTTTTTCAGCTTTATTTTCTAAGTTTCTTTTTCAGCTACATTTTTTCTAAGTTTCTTTTTCTAAGTTAGTTTTAAAAACTAATAATTTTTTTTATTACAGTTCTTTGTTTTCTCTTCTTTTGTTCAAGGTTTTCTTACAGCTAAAAAAAAAAAAAATGGATCTAGAAAAAGTCAACTCCGTAGGGCGTTTTGAAGGTTACCTGCCGACGAAGCCGCTTGCGGAATTGATGAAAGATGGATTGTACTACGTCTCAAAGATGAAGAAGGTCCAGACCAAATATGGACCAAGGATCATTGTTGAAATTGATGCTGATTTCGTCACATACTTACCAACAAGATTCATCAAGCTCTTTGAGGATGAACCCACCACATTGGACATGATGAAAGAAGCTGCGATATCGAAGAAACTTCAAATGAAGTATCTTGGAGGACCATATAATATTGTTGAGTTTAAATTGTTATAATTTTTGTTAAAAAAAAAATGTATATATATTTAAAAAAATTTTGATAAAATAAACACACAAAGTTTTACCTATAAATTGGTTTTAAATTTACTTTCCTTCTCTTAGTATAAGTTTTATTTTCAGAAATTATAAAAGAATTTAAATTAAATTTTAAAGGATAGGTTGTTTTTGAAATTAAGAAGCATTGTTTTTAAATTAATAACATTTATTTTTGAAAACTTAATAACTATATTTACAAAAAAGATTCACAATTTTCATAAAAAGATTTTAAAGTAGAGTCAACTTCATCAATTCCATTAGCAATAGTACTTATATATTGGTTTGGAGGATCCAAAAACCAATCGCGTAGAATTTTAACATTTTTTACAGCACAATTTTCACTACAAAAAGTATGATGCGTACACGTCGTTAACAAATCAGACTTAATTTTTTTCAACGATGGACAATTAAAATCTTCCAAGTTTTGTACGTTGAGTAAATATTTTTCTAGCCAATTCTTTTTTTCTAAACCTTTAACGTAAATTACACTTGCACTTCGAAGTATATCTTGTAGAATTGGTCGAAGTTCATCGTATGAGACGTCTCCAGCTGTCCAATGGATTCCATGGTAATTATGTGTTAGCCAAAGATTTTCACTTTTGTAGCGTCCTGGCAGTGAATTCCAAGGACAAGGAGGTTCAAAAAGGTAGACGAGAGGCTGTGCATCTGGTTGAAGAGGAAGTATCGCCAACTCTTTAAAGACAAACTCGTTGTTGGCTCTTTTAAAACCTTGAACGTCTACGATAAACTCCATTTTGAAGTAGAAATGAATTTCTAGCCGAGAGCAGCTGCTTTTATAGTAATCACCCCCACCACTACCACATTATCCCCACTCCTTTACAATAGTTTCTTTACAACGCCGCTGATTGGCTTATATTGTATGACGCGGTCATGGATGATTAGGCAATAGGCAGTGGTCTCGGCTGGCATGTTGATTCCTGCTTCAAATTCTAACCTCACATCAACTGATGCTTGTTTTAAAAACTCGTTTTGTTTAGAACAATCAATAACAATTAGAGGAAATAGACTTTTAAAAATATCCTTTGTTAAAATAGGTTTTGAATCTTTACCATAATAGGATGATTGAAAATTAGCGTACATTTCATAAAGTAGAGAGTACTGATTTTGATCAAAGTTTAAATTTAAATTTCCGTAAGGATAATATTGTGAATTTAAAAAGAGTTTAACATTTATAATATTACAATGGTCAAAATGACAGGCATATTTTTTTTCGTTTATCTTTCCTCGCTGTTTGAAATCCAACAATAACATAACGAGGTTTCTCTAATTGCGTTGATGTTTTAATTTGCCACAAAACTTTTGAACTTGTAGGAATTAAAGGATACTCATACATTTCCCACGACCTAAAACTTATTGAAATTAATGGATCCTTTTCAATATATTTTAACAATTTAACTTTGTTATTGTCAGAAGGTAAAACGTATGGAACCATCCATTCAAGTTTATTGATAGAAATTTTAAATTCCTCATCCCCTCCTTGTCCTGTTTGAATTACGGCATTCACGTCAGAACGTGCTCTTGTTAAAATAAGTTCATGTTTAGCGTTCATAATGATTTTTTTATAATCTTCAGCAAAACCAAAAATCATGCTGAGTGGTATTGTGACGTCAAAATATCCATTTTCCAATACAAGTCTTGCATCAGCTGCAATTTTTGAATATCCAGCATTTTCAATAAAATTTAGCTGATTTGATGTTTGCGAGGTGTAATTTTTCATGATTGTAGTATGTCCAACGTATTTGCAGCGATCAATTTCAATACCATTTAGTTCATAGCGAATTTCATCAAACAAAAAACATACAGCATTATTACTTAAATGTACGTTTTGTGTAAGAGTAATTCCATCATTTTTAGTTAATCTACCAAAAATGTGTAATGAACTTTTACTAGGTAAAATGCACAAGTCTTGATGTTGTACTGCGATTCGAATTTCATCGCTATTGTTAAAAGATGAAGATGCGTATGGTTGATGAGCATGAATTTCATAATGAGCTATTGACTCATCGAAATTCACTGCTGCTGGAATATTGAGAAGTTCGTCCATTTTTATTGCAACAGCAACCAAAAAATATGTAGATTAATTGTCTTGTTGTCTTATTTTCTTTCCTTGAACTTTTAGACCTAGTTCTTGTAGGAAGAGGCGATTCTGAGGTGTTAACACCTTGTGAGATAAATTTAGACTGATTGGATTCTTGCATGTTGTCTGACTTTTATAGTTTCCACCAACAACAGCTCTTTGATTATAAACGATTCCCATTACAAAGACTTTATATGCAATCGAATTGTTATAGTTTCTCCTCTAAAATTGATTAAATCACCGTCCTGATCAACAATTCGCAGCTGTATATTATGTATTGTCTTGGTGACAATCGGAAGGTAAATGACGTGTGCAGGCACTTCCACAATCTTATATCCTGGTGGAACGCTGGGGAAGAATTCATGGATAGTGTGAACTTTTTGGTTATTTATATACGCTCCAGATGTGATATTACACTCAATTCTAACTGAATTAACCTTTAAAATGGCTACAGGTAAATCAGAAGTATGTGCTCTATGAGATGATAGTTTCTGTGATGTAAATCCTAACAACTTACCAATAGAATCTTTAGGTTTAAAATCAATTGGTAAATTAGATTCAACAATACTGCGTAATGTATTATTATTAGGTTTTATACTAATAACAGTTCCAGTTTTTACAGAATTTTGTAAATATGATTCAATATCTTTAATTTCATAACTTCCAGTTGGAATATCAATTACTTGATTTCCAACGTAAAACTTGTTATTTCCTTTATCAATATTGGGAATTGAATTAAAAGTCAATAGTTCAACAAGACCAAGTACATAACTTTTATTTGAATTTAGTTCTATTGGAGGGAAATATTCAGCTCCCAGAACTGAAGAATTTCCTGTTAACGTTAAAGTAAACGAATCACTCATGTTGCTGTCAGATTGTATACTGAAAGCTTACAATAGTTACACACTTTTATAAAGGTTAAAACAACTTTTAACATTAAGTTGATTACACAAAAATTTGAGACACAAGTGTCCACATACAAATGTATCATAATTTTGATATCTTTTATGATTATATTTTATTAAGCTACCATCACCCAAGTAAATGACAAGATCTGTTGGTGGAGCAAGGTTGCCAAAACTATCAAAATACATTGTTTCGTTTTTGAATTTTTTATATGCTACCCAATGTGTTCCAGCACCTTCTTTATTATCAAGATTAATTATTCCTGATTCATACTTGCAAGGACCACTTACAGGTAGTTCATTTCGCATAAAAATACCACGAAAATGCGGTATTTTGACAGCTTTGGCATATTTTAACAGATCAAAATCAGTCAGTGGACGGTGAGGTAGCTTCAAAACAAGTTTTTTGTTTTCCTTCTTGTTGTTCTCTTTTTTCTTGATGCTCGTTTCTTCTTCTTCTTTCTTGATGATCGTTTTTTAATTCCTTTTCCTTGAATGTAGGGTTTCAAGTGGAGACCAAGTCCTTGTCGATAAGGTTTAAGGTGTAATCCCTTTCCAAGCGATATGGCTTCCATGGATCTATTGTGACGTTGAGCTTCTGCAAGCTGTTCACTAGCTGTTTTAGCCTTATTAACAGCCCTTGCTATTCCTGAAGCACCACCAGCAAGTGCTCCTAAAGCACTAAGTCCAGCAAAAATTGGAACTAGCGGTAAAATTCCACCTACTTTAGTAGGTACAGGAAGAATTCTAGGTGATAAAATTTTGGATTTACCACCAACATTTTTTATTGCTTTTCGTGCACCAACTATAGCTGCTCGAATTGATTCTTCAGCATTATTACCAGGAGCCATACTTTTTCGTGCAGCATCAACAATTTTTCTTAGCACTACTCGTTTATTTTTACACATTTTTTTACTCTTTTTCTTTATAGATGATTTTCTTCTTCTTCTCATTCCCATACCTAACTTTGATTTAGCTTTCATGGTTCCGGATATAGCTAAAGCAGCTGCTCTTTCACTTACACCAGAATCTTTAGCTGTAACACGTTCCCACGCTTTCTTAGCTAATACTTTATCTGCTTCGTTTCTAGCTTGAATATTTTCACGATTTTGCGAATATGCAATGTCGTGTTGTTTACATGCAGCGTCCAGTGGATTAATTCCTTGGTCACCTCGTGACAAACGCTTAGCCAACTTTGTACCAGGCCCACAGAATTGGTATCCTGGTAAATGTAACTCAAACGGTAAACTATTGATGATACGATTGATTAAACCTTTTCCTTGATAGCGACCTTTTTTCACCTCCTGATGCAGAATCATACTTCACTCTACAATGGTTGACGTGAAACTGACAAATTGACTATAAAAGCTGGGTATTTATAGATTTTCAAGCAGTTACTGTCAAGATGCAGTTCACGAAACAACCTGTCGCACTGCCAATCTCTAGTATAGATGTTGAAACTAATGAAAAAAAGATTAAACGTCATGGTAGTCTGTTTTCAGACAGCATTCGAGCAGTTTTCTGTGGCCCCTCAAATTGTGGTAAAACAAATGCTCTTCTTTCCCTAATAATACATCCAAATGGTCTAAGTTTTGAAAATATTTACCTCTACTCTAAATCTCTACAGCAACCGAAATATAAATTTTTAGAAAATGTAATCAGTCAGGTAGATGGTGTTGAGTATTTTCCATTTAGTGAACATGAAGAAGTAGTATCTCCAAAAGATGCTAAAGCAAATTCAATATTCGTTTTTGATGACATTGCTTGTGAAAAGCAAGATAATGTTAGAGCTTTCTTTTGTATGGGCAGACATGTAAACGTTGACAGTTTCTATTTATGTCAAACGTATGCTCGTATTCCTAAACATCTAGTTCGAGATAATGTTAATTTATTAGTTCTATTTAGACAAGATGAAAAGAATCTGAAACATGTATACGAAGATCATGTTAATACAGATATGAGTTATACTCAATTTCGCGATTTATGTTCAGAATGTTGGAAATCAGACAAATATGGATTTGTTGTTATTGATAAGGACCGTAATTTTAATGAAGGAAGATATAGAAGAGGATTTGATTGCTTCATTTCACTATAAATACAAGAAGTTCATTGAATTTTTCATTAGTATAGTTTATCTTGTCTCGAAGAAAACATGTATCGAAAAGAGCAAGAAACACTTCGTCAAATAGCAAAAGCAAGTGATGCTATTAGGCGGAAACATCGTTTACTCAAAATGGGTAAAGAGGCTGCAGAAACAGTATTGAAAGAAACTTTTCAACCAATAGTAACACCTCTGGAAAAGTTGGTGAACATAACTGACATACCTTTCAAAAATATTAAGAAAGAAAAAGTTAAAAAGGAGGAAAATGATTTTTCTTTCTCAACTGCTGTTGATGAGGAAGAGGAATTTGATAAAACACTACTCAATGACAGTCTATTTGATAAGAGCAACAAGTTTGAAGAAGAAGGAGAAGAACTTAATTATGAAAATTTGACAAATAAATTTATTCAATTATTGAATAAAAACAGAAAAAGTTTTTTAGACATGGTTTATGGAGTACGTAAGCTTCCTAATGGTTCTTTTATTATTGGTGATACACCAGTTGATTTAGAAGGTTCACATATTCAACTTGCTGGAAAGAAAAAATATTTAAAAACTGCTGGGTTGCTTGAACTTTTATTTCGACAAGAACCTAATCATGCATTAATAAGTTCAGATGATTTGGAAAATTATAAAGAAATTCTTGTAGCTACAAATGCACACCGAAAAAATTATAGTTCCAGTGGACTTGTCAACGTAACCAGGAGTTCTAAATACACTGTTGTCATTTCAAAACTTTTTAAGGGTACGCCAAAAAAGGGTAGTGGTGTTTTAAAGAGGAAGAAGAATCTTGGAAAGAAATTACCTCAATTTATGATTTCAAAGAAACAATTTGAACCAGACTACATCTATTGGGATGATCCCAATGAACTAGTTGACCGTTTACGTCTGCTAGTAGCATCACAGCAAGCTGGTAATCCAAGCCATAATAATGAAATTATGTCAATCATCGAAGAACTACGTGAAGCTCGCATTATATATTAGGAGAGTACAAGCAAATAGAGCTTAGTATTAAAATGAGCATTGATGTGTTTGGACATCCCTTGTCACGGCCTCTTGCAAGTCGTGGACTTCCTGGACCTTCTGGAATTGGTTTTAAAATTACTCCAAGTGAACAATACGACATTGATAACAAAAGACTTTGCAACGTTCAAGACGCTGAAGAGCAACGAGACGCTGTAAATTTAAGACTTGCACAGAAAATTATTAAAAACGAGATAAAAACAGTTTTTCAAATTACATCTTCTTTAAGATCAGCTATTGATGATTTGAATCTTTATATTCGAATTATCGAGGATAGAGTAAACGAAAAACTTAAAGAAATTGAATCACAGCAAAATTACATTATCAAAGAGGCTAAATTTATTCAACAGTGATGGCTGATCAAAAATTAACAGTTGTAACTGAACTGCATAAACAAGCTAGAAGAAATTATCCTCGTCGAAAAGTTCAAATGCGTGGCATCGATGAAACCTGGCAAGCAGATTTGGTTGAAATGATACCTTATTCTTATTCTAATAAAGGTTTCAAATACATGCTCACAGTTATAGACATATTTTCCAAATATGCCTGGGCTGTAGCTGTAAAGAGTAAGAATGGAAAGGATATTTCTTTGGCCATGAAAACTATTCTCAAACAAGGCCGAATTCCAAAAAATTTGCATACTGATAGAGGCAAAGAATTTTACAATTCTGAATTTAAGAGTTTAATGCAAGAATTTAACATTAATCTCTATTCTACATATAGTAATTTGAAAGCCTCAATTGTTGAAAGATTTAACCGCACTCTAAAAAATATGATGTGGCCTGAATTCAACTTACAAGGCAATTATAAATGGATTAATCTTTTACCAACTCTCATGTCAAAGTACAATAATAAAAAGCATCGTACTATTGGTATGAAACCCAAAGATGTCACCGTAGAAGATACAAGAGAACTGTTGAGACGTATCCGTAAACTAC